TTGAAACAAATAGTCACCTCTTTTTACATTGCAAAGTAACTAGTAGGCTGTGGTATCTTTTCATGAGTATGAAAGGTGTGAAATGGGCAAATACCTAGGACAATTGCAGAAATGTTAGCTTGCTGGAATGACCAAGGTATTCTACTGAGGCAGAAGCATTGGCGGAGACAATTTGGTTGGAGAGAAATTCAAGGTGCTTTGAAGATAGAGCTAACACTGAACAGAAGATCAAGACGAATTGTATATTTTTGTTTCACTTTTGGTGTAAAGAAGCTCTGGTGGAGGATGTAGAGTATATGGTGGATATTATTGGGTCTTTGTAACTATCACAAGTTTGGGTTTGCATTTTGTTATTTTTCGGGGGTCTTGTAACTATCTGTAACCTATAGTTATAGCATAATCTTTATGCTAAAGGTTTTTCTACTTATTTTATAAAACTTGTTACCTTCTCAAAAATAAAAAAAACAACTAGAGTGTCATCCTTTCTTTATTAGTTTCAGATTAGTATTCCAGGTCCTATTACTTATATCCTTGTAGTTTCTCTTCTATAATCCGTAGATTTGGATTTATTGTAAATTTCACTGGATAAACTCTATTGAATGTTGAAGAATTTCTTTGGACGATGCATCCAGGAATTGATAATCGATGATCTAGCTACCATATTTGGCATATTCTAACAGTTAACATTTCTCTTGATAAATTCCCCATAAATGAAAATAAAGAACCAAAACGTCAAGTTCTTATGGAGATGGATCTTATATATCCCTTGGGGAACTTACTTTTGTGTTAACTGATGTCTATTAACAGAAATATGTTGCTTACTTAGAATTTGTAAATCCTTGTTTGTTGTTGTGCTTATAGAAAATCTGAGTTTGGCTTCTTAATAGCTGTAACATAGCTTGACAACCTGGGTTATTTAAACCGAATGGCCTCTCTTATTTGTCTTTTTCTTTAATGGCCTTCATTTTGTCGATAATTTGAGATAAATCTTGCAATCTGCTTATCAAGTATTCTCTAATGTGGTTATTCTTCTTTGTCATTGAGAACCAGGTTTGTCTTCGAGAACTAGATAATGAAATGTCAAGAAAATTGTTGGGCTTGCTTAACAAGTACAGGGAAAGTGACAGATCATATTATCAATTAAGTTATCTTGTGAGACAAGGTGAACAGCCTAGAGAAGGATACTTCCTGCTTGCAAATCTAATTGAGGATGCAGTTGCTGGTGCAAATGGTTATCTTGATTGGATTATGCAACTTCACCGGCAAGTCCAGCAAAATGCATAATTTAAGGTAATAACAAGGGGCCATTTGCTAGTATTTTATGTGTTCTTGGAAATGACATCTGAACAGATTGCTCACTCTATGTTAATCTAAGTGAACCAACACTTGCATGTTGCATTTTCAGTTTCTTATACCTCTATGTTCCGTAGGGTTCTACCAAAAATTTGATAGAGTTTGGTAGTTCCTAATTCTGATCCATCAACACTTGAAAGCTATCACCAACAATCTAGTAAGCCAGCTCCGTCGCATCTTAACTAGGATCATTACATAATATGACGTGTCTGTCATAGACCAACAGTCTTGAAAAAAGAAAGTGCTCTCTTCTTTATTTATTTATTTATTTATTTTCATGTTTGTGTTCAGACTCCACTTGTGGGCAGTGTTGTGAAGAGCGTGAAGCGAGGAAAAGCGACAATCTCCTTTTCGCTTAAAGCGTGAAGCGAGAAGCGAAGCGCTCGCTTTTTTGAAGTGAAGCGGAATTAAGAAAAATATTAAAATAAATACTGCATAGACAACACATGTTACACATGTAACTGCATACAACACATGCAACTGCCAATACTAAAACAATTGGCAGTGAGACTAAGAACAAAAGATGAAAAACTGAAGGAAAAAAAAAAATTGGCAGCATTTCGCTGCAGTTTTAAGGACTGAAACGAAAATAAGAAGAAGAAGAGAATGAGAAAAAGAACTGAAGGGGAAAAATATTTGGCAGCATTTCGCTGCTATTTTAAGCACTGAAGAAGAAGAAACCTGGGCTTGAAAATTGAAACCCTAGTCGCTTCTTGCTCTGCTGCTCGCTGATGCCAGCGCTTCCGTCGCTTCTCGCTTTTTTGGCAAAAGCGGACGCTTCAACCTACCTGCTACGCTTCACCCTACAGAAGCGACACAGTGGCCGTCTCGCTTCGCTTCACGCTTAAAGCGCTGAAGCGAGCGCTTTTCACAACACTGCTTGTGGGATTCCACTCAGTTTTTTTGTTGTGTTCAAATGCACTAGGTCAAGAAATATGAAAGGCGCTCTACTGAATGGAGGTAACTTTTATAAAAGGGTGATATAGATATATGCACATAGAAACATCTTGAGTTCTGCTAACTACAAGGGAATATCCTTTTGGTCTGTGTCATGCGGTGCTAGTGTTATTTGTTGATTTCTCCTGCATCAGAAAGCACAAATTGACATTCTATAGTTTTCTGTCTCCTGTCCCTTTTCCCTTGTTATATTTCAGTTTTAGTTGCATTACATTTAATGTCATCTTTAGGAGTTTTTGATCAATATTGTCCCTTATCTTTGAGGGTAGGTCTATTTTGGTCCCTCAAATATAACCCTGAGCATATTTAGTCCCTTAAGTATGCTAAAGTGGAGCACCTTTAGTCTCACTGACACAATATGTTCAAAAACTAACGGTGTTACCTAACTCTCTGATTCATGAAGCAAATCTTCTGCTCTGAAGCAAAACGTTTACTCTCCTTTTATTGGATAACACAAATTATCACTTTAATTCCTCATTTTTAGATAACGTCTTTTAAAATTTTGACCTTGAAAATATCCCCTTCTGTGCCAGTTTTCAATGAAAAAATGACACTGTATAGCCGTTGTAAAAATAATAGCTGAAAAAATATATAAAATTTGTATATTTTTTTGTATATATCTACATTTAAAAATTTCGGTTGATTTTTCCAAAAAGAAAAGTTAAAATTCGAAAAAAATAGAGCTGTCAAGATCACTTATGGGCATATTATTGAAGCAAACGAATAACCTGGTTGTATTATCACTTTTAGCCCGTGCCTGAAACTATTTACATCTGATAGCGGAAAAAGTATTTAAAATTTGTATAATTTTTGTATATTAACATACAAAATGTATATATATATACAAAAAATATACAAATTTTTCCATCTCAAAAACATATACAAATTTTATACATTTTTTCGGCTATTATTTTTACAACGGCTATACAATGTCATTTTTTCTCATTGAAAACTGGCACAGAAGGGGATATTTTCAAGGTCAAAATTTTAGAAGACATTATCTAAAAATGAGTAATTAAAGTGATAATTTGCGTTAACTAATAAAAAGGTGAGCAGAAGCAAGCTTCATGAATCAGAGTTGGGTAACACCGTTAGTTTTTGAACATATTGTGCTTAAGGGACTAAATATGCCCAGGACTATATTTGAGAGACCAAAATAGACCTACCCTCAAAGATAAGGGACAATATTGGCCAAAAACTCTCATCTTTAGAGTGGTAGTAGTTTGAGCTCTTTATTTTGTGGCTGCTTTTGGTGTTTATTGCACAAGTATAATGTGGAAAATGAAGAGCAACATAGGTAAAGTACTTAAGAACAGGATAGATAAAATACTTCTAACTGCATATTTACAACTGTACAGTTTACTTCCTATGACGGGGATTTCAGAGAATTAACAAACTTGTTCATCTTTTTCATTTCTAACGAAATAACTTAATGCGGTAACTTATGGAGAGTGAACCTTATTATAACTTTTACTTGGTTTTTCATTAATTGATGAGGTGTTATGACCTATTTTTACATGCCAATTATTAAACATTATATCTAGTGATTCTATGAAGTACAAGTTACTAAATAACAAGCCAATAAGGTTGAATTGACATTTACTGCTTTCAGTTTGACATGAATGACGAATAACTTCTTCGTACACAGTTTCTTATGTGCTTGCAAGTTGCACCATCAATTCCTGGTTACTTTTCTGGTTGCAGATCCTCAATTTTATCAGTATTCTTTATTTCCAGTTTTCTTGGTCCGCTGAGCTGTTGTTCTCCGAGGACATTAGAAGTGATCATTATATATGGTCTGCCGGATGAGCTAAAGCTTTCATGTAAGAAACTCTGCTATTAGTATGCCTTGACACTGCTGATTGCTTCATTTACCTGATTTATGATGTAACATTAACTCGATGAACTACTAGAGCTTGCTTCTCAAGTTGGAATCATTTCGAAAATATGCCTGGACCTGAGGACCCGTGTTGGAGCATTTTCGAAATATTGGAAGAAGGGAGACCCCATTTCCTAGCTCTACTGCCTGAGCATGAAGGTCTTTTAATTTGTTGGTTTCTTGGTCCAGAATATTATTAAATTGAACATTTGTGGAGTTGGTCGTCTTTCCTTTTCTTTTTGGGTGGGATAGAACGTGAGTTTGCATGCGTTCCTGGGACCTTTTTACTTAGATGTAGGTAGGTATGAGGTTTTGTACATCGCATCTTAGTTGGGGTAACCCAAGATTTTCCTGCCCAGGAACAATTTTGTATTTGCTTAAGCGAGTAGCGCCAGGAAACTTCTGTAAGGAAGAACACGTTACGATATTCAAAATGCCATGAAATTTGTTTATTATTTTGGGTTATACTTGCTGGAATGAGGATTAAGCCAATATACTGAGGCGGAGCTAAGATTTGAACTTTGTGGGTTCTGAAATTTAGAAGCATGATTTCAAGTGCTAATGACTGAGATCTAAATTTAATATGTGTACATGTATAATGAATTTATTTAATACACTGTTTGAGCAAAAGTTGATTTGGTGTTGGCAACAGACCTATCAAAAGCGTTATCAGTACAGGCATTAATGCCAACATAAACGATGCTATCTTCATAATAAAACCTCTTTCACAACATCAGAAATTTCTCCTGCAAGTTTACAAACCTTTAAAGAAAAGGCTATATATTATAGAGGAACTTAGGACTCCTTGCTTGTATGCCAGATTATTAGTAGAAAAGATGATCAAGGTGGTATCATAAGCTGAAGACGAAAAATAATAGATTCCCATTTTCATGAACAGATCCCTTGTAACGAAGACCATTCCGCTGGCTGCTACCAAATTGAGAGTACGACGAAGAGAAGTGACAGACGACAAAGCAAGAAAAGAGAACTTTGCATGACTCATGTTTTCCCTACCCTAAAGAAAAAAAGGAACACTCAATTAGATCAAGACTAACTTTGTCACAAATCTTGAACCGACGATATTACTTCGGAAAAGAGTCAAAGGAAACATTTTTATTTGCTTGTTATTGATAAATGATACAGCAAACCTTAAAAGGATGGATAGAAACTCCCACTTTAATTTACAACTAGGAAATGAGTTTTGGCCAAGTATGTCTTGTATCGAATTGGACAAATTTCAGACTGTTGTGGCTGAAGCATATCAATTTTGAGCTGCCTTCACTTTCTCGATCAAATCAGCAGCATCTTGGACAGTGGCAATGTTCTGAGCTCCCTCTTCTCCAATTGACACTTCAAATTTCTCTTCTAAAGCCATCATTATTTCGACCTATTCAATTTTAGAGTAACTTAACATTAGATTAGCGACATTGTACGTTAAGTAAAAGCAACTAACTTATGTAAAGTAAATCTACTGTCAATGTGGATATGTTGTAGTAGGGTAATCTACTTTATTCTCCATATTACTGATAATCCCACTCTTTATGTATAGCTCTTTTAATGATCTGATAATATAATAAAAATTCTTTTACACCGTCAGAATATAAAAGTGAAACTCTATATTAAACTTGTAGAACATACGTACAGTGTCAAGGGAATCAGCACCCAAATCAGCAAACTTAGTTTGAGGAGTCACTGTGCTCTCATCAATGGAAAGCTGCTTGGCAATTGTGCTTTGGACAATATCCAAAGTTTCAGGTTGAGCCTGTTGAAAATGATGCATGCGAAATACCATTTCTTTTAATTGTTTAGTGTTAGAGAAAACTGAAAAGCTAAAGAAATTCGTTTCGCAGGAAAATAAACTCAGTGTCTTACAATTGAGCATGAAATTTGATTCTTGAAACCATGGGAGAATTTGGGTGATTTTGTTGCTGCTCCGGAGATTTGAATGCTTGGCACAAGTCTAAGCCCACTTACTTTTGAACCAAACTGCGAGGTTATTTAAAAATAAAAATAAAAAGGTACTGGCAATTCTTAGGAGTAATAGGATAAATAGGGGTCATCTTTGGTTCGACCGACCCGCTCGACCATAATAGATTATTTTGGGGAGGGATTTCTAAGCTATAAAAATTAAGGAAGAGTAGGTTTTGATATAATAATGGATTTAAAATTTAATCAGTGGGTGCGAAATACTACTACATCATTATTCTTTAGGGGGATAAGATTAGTAACTTGAAAAGTAATAGTAAAACTTCCATGCTATACCCTGTTAAAAAGCAACAATAATATTTTTCTTTACAATATCAGTGTATATAATTAGTTAAATCCATTTTAAGTAAAAATGGGTGAAAATAGAGAGCACAAAATTAGGTGGACTTACATTTTTGCCAAGGTTGAATTGCCTAACGTGGCATTGTATTTTAGTAGAACTGTAAAGAAGGGTGGCAGAAGGACCTGCTGATGTAGAAACAAGGGAAACCATGTGAAGAGATATTGGGTTAAAGGAAAAAAAAACTATAAAAGAGATTTAATTTCTATTATATTTGCTTGTGACCGAACTGCTTTAGTTTGTTCCAAATTTATATACTGAAAACGGAAAACTTGCATCATATATATACCTGTTTTGTACTGGGGTCTTTGGCACTACTTGAATTGGATGGCGATCTTAACAAAACTTTTAGCGTTTTTGCCAGTTAAAGTGGCGGTCCACACTATGCTTCTTGTTTTTGAGTGCTAGTAATCTCCAAAACAACATACCAGACCGGATTCTAACTTTTTTCGCTTGTGGGCTATAATTATTTACCCGTAAAAAAGTACAATTAAATTTATAATGTGATTTATAAATAAGCGAATCGATTTGACCCAAAAATAATAACTAAATGAAAACAAAGATAAGATTATCAAATGAAATTAAAGGAGATAACAAGCATGACTAGGAACTTAACCTTTCTGATGACAAGATTGAATGCAATGTTCAAGTGCGCAAATTGAGAGTAATAAGACAATACATTATAGCTTTTTGTGTACTCGTGTGTACAATGGATGTTAATTTTTCTATTCATAACCCTATTAAGGGAGACAAGATCCTCAAATCAAGCTCCTCTTGAATGAGACTAAAATCGTCATTGATGGGTGCATAACAGTTGGCTGTAAATGCAGAAATTCTCTGTAACGGCCGCCAATTGAATGTTAACCGATGACAATGCTTTGAATCTTTGTTACCGGTTGCTCTGTCTTCGGTACTTTTCAGCACTGATTGCACGCTTGTACCCGGTACCAGCTATTTGCTGACTCACATCCACTTGTCTACAGTTCCACGTGTCATTCCGTCATTTGCCCAGCTGTCATTAACCAATTTTACCCCATACAGATAGTCTCCTTACTTTTCAGTGACACAACTTAGTATTACCGGGAAGTAGATAAGAATTCCTTTTCTTGGCGGGAAAGCTTCTAAATGGTCTTTGACATTTGAAAGGACGCACGTCTTCTCGCAATTAATGACCCGAACACGTGTTGCCCTGTGATTTAGCAAATATTTTTGCCAGTTTTCGAGGTAATCATGACCACGATTGTTGCCGTCTATAACTTCTCCACTACTCATCATTTCACTCTTTACTTTTACAACTCCTTCTCCTTCTTCTTTGAATCTCCTTAGTGTTCTTCTACAGTATTCAACATTCTCAGCAAACAACTTTTTTCTTCATAAACATGTCTTCAAACACTGTTGTTCCTGGAAACCTTGGCCTTCTTTTTGGCGGAGGTCCAAAGAAGAACAAACCAAGGAGGTTGACGTCGAGTCTGAACCTCCAACTGTAAACACCATTATTCCACTTCATCTTAGCACGACATCTGACCTTCAAGAGCATAAACCACCTGGAAATTCTAAAAGTGACAGGTTCTGGCATATTCGCAGATACCCCTCTTCCATTCGTCCTTCTAGCATGACTATTGTGAAGGAGGAGTGTAACTGGGGTAATGTCGAAATCCTCACCCCAGATGTGATAGAACGAGTTACCTACGCCAGGTCAGGGTTCATGTACATACCCCTTCACTTTGGGTCCTTTCACCTTGGGAGTGGGTGAAGGAATCGACCCAATAATCTTGGAATTTTTCCACCGGTACCAAGTTTGATTGGCATAGGTAGTACCTCCATATGGCGTACGGTGGCCTGTCTCCACCAATTATGTGCAGAAACTGGGAGACCCTAACTCTCGCGCATATGATGAGTTTTAACTCCCCCAAGATTTTTCGTGGGGGTGTACTAAATCTTAGCAAGTGTGGTCATCACACCCTTCTTACCAGCGTTGATGACGACAACGACCATGGATGGATGTAACGATTTATTATTATTGCTACCAGAGACATCATCCCGGCCACATCGCCAACTTTTCCCGAATCATGGAACCTTTTCCGTAAGTCTTCGTGTATTTGTTTCTTTTCTTCGTGAAAAAACTTTCTTATTAGCTGACACTTTATTTCCTTCGTTCCAGCTACTCACTGGGAACCACCACAAGCTCTAGACCTAGACCGATGGGTACAGAAAATTATGGATATAACTACGCCAGAATCCCGACAGTGGAAAGAGATGGCTCCCAAGTATGGGTGGAAAGCCAAGAACCATGGTAAGCAAAAATTCTTCTTTATTTCAATTTTAACAACTTTGGAACAATTTTTTAACTATCCTTTTGTTCCACATAGGACTTCCAAAGGGTTTCATCGTGTGTCCCGACGTCGAGGCTCTCGATGACCCCTAAGAGGCCGAACGGATATTGCAGAGCGCCCTTAGCCGGAGTAGGGCTCGCATATCTGCTCATGCCTCCAGTGAGGGCGCCTCCTCCTGGAGTCCCCAATCTAAAAATAAGAAACGGAAGAGGAAGCGTACCTCATCGACTGTGACTCAGAAGAAGAGAGTGAGAAGATCATCAACCAAGCCGGTCACGGTGGTCATTAATGATGAATAATGGGCTAATGATGAAGACGTCCCTCTTCAAAGAAGAAAAAGGTCTTCATCGGCTCAACCGAGTGCTCAACTGGTAGAGCCTCAAAATTCATCGTCAGAGGAAGTTCAGGCACTCTGGGGAAAATGAGTTTGGTTAAAAATGTTGATTCTCGCTTTTCGATTGCTGTCGATGTCTCTGATCTGAGGAGTTAGACCCCTGACCTTCCTCTATCACTGACTACTGAGCAAGCCATAACTGTCACTCCTTCTACACCAGCTATTTCTTCTCCATCCGCACCAGCTTCTCCTTTTCCAGCAGTATCAATTGCTTCTGCTCCACCGGCATCATTCGAACAAGAAGGGAATGTCTCTCCCCTACGATCTCTCGATCACAGAAATTTGGGAAGTACTTATTTGGCACCACCTCAAGACCCCCACAAAAGAAGAAATATTGTTCTCTCGATTTCAAGTGGGTGCTATCTGCTTTCCAAGCCAGTAGAATTCGCCAACTATTTGAAGCCGTTGGCCTCTACAAAGGATTGGAAAAATATGGAATCCTTTTCTGGGGAGTGCTTAATAATAACAACATGCATTGCTCGACGCAAATAACAATCTCACTTCCTTCTATCTTCTTTCACTTTATATTTGAAGTAATAATTTTGGTTCTATCCCCTTTTTAGGCTAACCTTCTTGCCTCCGAGGGTTGATCATGCACTCCCCGGTTCTGAAAAGACATTGATTCCGGTTCTAACAGTTCCCGATATTCGTAACACTTTTAGTGTCTTGTCATGTATTATCCCCCCAGTGTTCGGATACTAAGCATGAGGATTCGAACACTAGAGGTTTTGCATTCGCCGATGACACTCCTTTCATAGCGAGCCTTTTTGTTGCTTCCTCGTTAATAGAAACAGCTTGTGAATGGGTAAACAATCTGTTATCGGATGCCGATGAGAGTCTTGGGAGACGAGTTATGCTGTCGGGCCAAAGATTATTTAACCATCCACGAGTTGATTGCCATACGGGTTGATCCACATAGAGTTTTTGGTTGTTTGATTCACCAGCTTACCGATGACCCTTCTTTTGTAGTATGCTTTACATTACTGCCTCATTAAAAATCTTGCCGAAAATACCCAATTGGGACAAAAACTGGTCGAAGAAAAAATATTGCAGCACATACTTTCAGTACCAGCAAGGATCTATAACAATAATACCTTTTGAGGTGAGTCTCGTTCCAATTACTTGGCAATTTAACTCCATCTTGATTTTCCAATTTGTATGAGCCTTTACCGGTTATAGCTGAAACCCGGTAAGGTCATTCCTATGTCGATCTCAGCTTCCTGCATTGAATTCTCGGGTGCTTTGAATGACTTTCCTTAGAACCAAATCCCCTACTTTGAAATATCTGAGATTTGGTTGTAATATCTTTCCATCCTTTGTTTTTGTGTCACCATCCTCACACATGCCAGATCTCGGTGTTCTACAAGAAAATCTAGCTTGGCTAGCAACTCTTCATTGTTTGCCTCTTTATTTTATCAGGAAAACCTTAGGGTCAGTTCCACCACTTATACTGATATCAAAGCTTCCGAATCGTACACGAGAAAAAAGTGTGTCTCTCCCGTGCTTGGATTTGCTTTGGTCTGATAAGCCTATAAAACACGCGGTAGCTCATCTATCCACTTGCCCTTAGCATCTTCTAACTTCTTCTTAAGGTTTTGGATAATTACCTTGTTGATTTATTCCACCTTTCCATTAGCACTCGTGTGGTATGGAGAAGACATAATTTATTTGATCTTTAATCCTTCCAAAAACTTTGTGACTTTAGAACCCACGAACTGTGGCCCGTTGTCACAAGCAATCTCCTTTGGTATTCCAAATCGGCAGATTATGTGGTCCTATATGAAATCAACCACTTCACGTTCTTCGATCTTTTGGTAAGGACCTATCTTCAATCTATTTAGTAAAATAATCAGTTAAAACCAAAAGAAATCTTACCTTCTCGGGCCCTTGTGGTAAGGGACCGACTATGTCTATCCCCCATTTCATGAACGGCCACGGTGATGCTA